CTCATATCGCCTTATGCAGGTTTTATTAGTCAAGGTGACACCTGCTGTCAATTAGGATCATTCCCATATTTTACATAATTGTACAATTCACATTCACAGACCACTTGGACATTTTGAGACAAATAACATAACAAAGTATGTGTGTTGTTCACTTCAAGTTGGAATGAAATCAGCCCAATCACTAGTTGGTCAAAACAAATTAACATGCCGAGGTATACCATCATGCCTTGTCTTTATACCTAGTTTCAACAAAAATGGTCAAAGCATGTACAAGAAATGGTTAAGAACAAATGAAAACACCAACATGGCTGCCTATCGGCCATTTTGTATAAAATCACAAACCAATGAGCAACAGTAAACCATCGTGTGATGTTCAAACCAAATTGGCCCAGGCATGCCTGTGAAATATGTTCAAATATTGTAACTTTGACAAGCATCATCAGGTCACCATGAGTGATGAATAAATTAGGTTTAGGAACGCACAAGAAACTGATGACATTTTCAAATGTTAATATTTTGAAACAAATGTTGCCACCAGTCGGCCATTTTGAATCAAATCAAGAAAAAATATGACCCATTATGTCTTGCCTTTGTACCAAATTTAATCTAAATCTGTAAACAAATCTTGAAGAAACTGGCAGAACACTTGAAAAAAACAAATGCCAACAAATCACAAGAACAAAATGAACAGTGACCCATCATAAGTGATGTCAATGCCCAGTTTAAATAAAAATAATTTAATGTTGATTTGTGTTTTTTGGGGGACAAAAATGGCCACCAATGGGTCACAGGCCAATAAAACAAATCAACATGCATATGTATCCCATCCATATCTTTGTACATGTACCAACTTCGAATAAAAGCGGTCAAAGCGTGTGCAAGAAATGATGATGAACAGACACACGAAAGACTGAAAATCTCTGTTTTGGACATTGTCAAATGGAAACTACTAAATCACATTAACATCTGAAGCACTGTTTGCATGTATTTTGTGAAACTACATTTAGTGTATTAGCATAAGAAAAACAACTCATAATGTTCCCCTAGTTCTCAGGTCATTTAGCATTATTAAATTGTTATACTTACGCAATGTTAATAAAATATCCACCCATAGTAAGTACTGGCAATATAAATATCATAGATATAATTATAATCACATTCTGACTAGACGTTAGTACTGATAAAAACAAACCTGTAAAAAATCAGAACAATGTCATGATACATACAAGCACATATGTGATCTATTTCTGGTATCTAAGCACCTTGAACCATTACATTACAACCATCAAAACATTTCTCTTTAAGCATGTTATGATTTTGTTGAAATGTCAGCTATCTGCCACATTTGTAATTTAAAATATTGCACAGGCACTAATGATGTAGACCACATAATCTTATACCATCACAGACTCTACACGTAATCTGATGACATCAAAGTCTGCATGTACTATATGATAAATTTATCATATTTCTTACCAAAAAGTAAGAGAATAAAAATTGTTTTTGGAAATTGTTTTTGGAAATTTGGAAAGAAATTGTTTTTGATGCAGAATAAAATCAATGTTAAATTTCATTCAATTGGCAGCAATGAAATGTCAATAACTTTTGCATAGTTCATATCACTAGGTAAGCAATATAGATGGAATACGGTACCGGTAATACAGTTTAGTTTGCTTTGTCTTATTCAGTTTTCTATTTCTTGTTTTTAATTGCAATTCTTTTCGCCCCATTCTAGGGATGTTACACATATGTTCTTAAAAATCTTATAAAAAATCATATTTTCACTTTGGATGCATTTATCAATTTTCTCTTACTTTTTGGTGAGATATATGATAAATTTATCAATGTGATACCATAATTAGCATCTTGAATAAGCACTTGTTTATGACTTGAGGCAAATGTATTGATTACATTACAGGGTAGATAGAAGAGGAGCATCCTTTTTGTAATAAATATTATTATGGAATACATTTTAAAATTACTATAAATATTTCATTAGTGTCTACCGGGTAATTAGATTTTTTCATTTGTCTTTGATGCCTATTCATGAGTATAATATCTATTGTGACTAGCATGAATGGGTGAACTTCATTTCAACAATGAGCTTTTATTGCTTCTCCAATTGTTAGTTTATCATTCAAAAATTACTAATTTCCTGATAAAAAAAGATCATGCTGTTTTCCCCAAAAAACTTTCCATTCTACGTTCGTCTTTCAGTGAGGTTGCTGAACCCTCATTAACATATTTAAATGCGCTATGGTAATTCAGATACATTTGGCTTGAACCATCCAATGTTCTGATTGGTTAATAAATGCGTTGACCTAACAGATCAAAGAGCCAAGTTTCAGGTCAACTCTCGTATGGAAAAAAAAACATTTTATATCAGATCAAGCATTTGCATGCGACTTAAAACATTTGCTTACGAAGAAACTAAGTTGTATTTTACTTGAATTTCATAAACTAACAAATTGATTTTTTGTATGTTATAATAATCATGACTGAGTAATAATCAATGTTTGCAACACCTAAAAAACAAATAATTGTTTTGCCATTACTGGATTTTGCTGCTAAGCAATATATTCATGTTCGTTTTTACTTGAAACTTCTTTTTTTACTTTTTGTAACCAACAAAGTTATAACCAAAATACTGTAAAATGACTAATTTTCACTGGGTTTTAATTTCACTGATTCACCATTTCAGACATATTCAGTGGGTTTTAAATTCACTTTTTTATCATTTATATAATGTGTTCTATGCTAAATTTTACATATTCACTGGGTTTTTAATTAGCTAATTTTCCAGTCAGCGAAATAAGCAAAATTAAAACCCAGTGAAAGAACAGGAGTTGTAAACAATCGACTCCCTTGACGCCTGTGCCATGGCAACGCAATATGCAGTACATATTATGCTCTGGATTATTACATTGTTGTTCTATTGTGTGTTTTGTTTGTTCCATATGTGTTCTATGCTAAATTTTACATATTCACTGGGTTTAAATTTAGCGCATTTTTCCAGTCAGCGAAATAAGCGAAATTAAAAACCCGTGAATAATTAACTCTTTTATAGTATATTACATGGACATTAAAGTTAGTATTTCTTGGCATCAACTGGAAATAACAAGATTTCTTTTGTTTACTGTAAATGCCTCTTTTAGACCCAAATTAAGACCTTCAACTCTTCCCTACGCCTAAATTTGAGTGACGTTTAAATTAGAGTATTTACGGTACTGTGGAATAATTTATTTTTGCTGGATTTAATTTTCGCTGAAAAGGCTTTTCAGGCATTTTGCTTGGAATTTATTTTCACTGATTTTTGATGAGTTTAATGTGAAATATAAGAAAAGAAATATATTCGCTGGATTTTATTTTCACGGAATTATCCCTTCAGCGAAAATTTATTCCAAGCAAAAATAAAGTATTCTACAGTATATGCTGAAATAATCAGGTGGCAATGTTTCATCTTAAGCAATCACTATCATAAGGTTATACAGACAGTACAAGCATTAGTGTTGATTAGATCACAGACTTGGGGCTGCACATGTTCTAATTTAATCTTGTACGTCAGATTGCAAGATTGATATGCTACTATTAAGAGTAATTGTTTTATACAGTAATTCCCAATACAACATTGTCGGTACTTAGTCGCCTGCAATAGAAATATTTACAGCAGACATTACCTCAAACTTTAGGTATTGTCAGAAGTTCCCAAGTCCCCTACAAACAAAGGTTTGCAGGATTTTTTCAAGAAAAAAACTGCAATCCTCGGGGGCGGAGCTACGTCACAGACGTTCCACGTTGCTAAGACGCGCACCACTGTACCATGCATTTCTATGGGCTCTGTGCGCGCTGCTGTGGAATGCCGGTCGAGCCGGTGAAAATTCGAGAAAACAACACAAACTCAACTTTGAAGTAATCCCGAACAACCAAATTTATATATGTTACACACATAGGGCTAATTTTGTTGCACTGTTCAGAGGAGTCTCAACAATCATCCCAAAGTACCGTTTTATGCGAGTTTTGGGCCTTTGTTTTCACCGCCGCAGGTTGCCAGGCGGTGAAAATGCCCGGATGTCCGCCCCCGAGGATAGGGAGCACTGCCATTCAGCGACGCCACCAAGTAGGGGAGATAGGGTTCTCCCTACCAGGGTGTGGAGTTTTTGATAATTCCAAGTTAAAATGGAGCATTCTATGGCTTCCTTGGTGCCAAAATTACTATCAGACAGGTCACAGTTGAAGACTATGGCCACATGTGATCCCTGGTCATTCAAAATTTTATGATTGCCAGAGGATCTGCTCCCCAGGGTAAGGGGGTCCCCATGGCCATGGCATGAGGGTGCTGTGTCCCTATTCCCTTGTTTAAAGAAATCCCTGGCTGACATTACCCTACACTTTAGGCATTGTCAGAGGTTCCCTACAAACAATGCCGAGAATGATGGTAATTTTTAGTTCCATGGTTTATTTTATTAGTCCTGCAAATGTTGTCACCTGATATCACTTGTTGGTAGAGCACATTGATACGAGCTAGTTTTATACACAAACTGTGGGTCAGTGAATAGTAGCGGTTGTGATGCCATGAGTTTTAACTATAAAACAAACCATACATGGCACAGACCCCATTAGTTATCAAATTTAAGTTATATAATTTTGTTTATAGTAATATAGTTTGAACATGAACATTTCAGAGATATGGATCCAGAAGCTGATGCTTGATTATGATGATTTGTTAACATTAAAATGATTGACATTCAGTCATCTTGTATCTGATTGTCAAATAAGTATGTGTCCATATTCAGATATATTGCTCTGGAAAAGCATTAATTAAAACGAAATGGCCACCAGTGAGCCATTTTGATGTACAAAATGATGTACATCAGGTACCCAAAATGTCAAATGTACCAAGTTTGAGAAAAATCAATCCATAAACAGCAGAGATCCAGTTCCAGAATGCCAGAAATGCTTGATTTTTGATGATTTTATAGCACAAAAATTATCACCATTCGGCCATTTTGAATCAGATTGTGAAACAAATTGATGTGCATATGTATGCTATGTATGTATGAAATTTAAATGTAATCGACCCAGGCATGTCCACGCACAGAGGTCAATCCATACTTCCCTGTTTTTAGATGGTCTCTGTACTGTGACTAATTAGGCATGATGTGTAAGTGCACCAGTAATAGCAATTACTGTTATCAAAAATGAAATACTCATATCCTGCAATAAAAATGGTACAATGTACCATGACATGATTCAACATCCTGTCCTAATATGCACAGAACATCGCCATGTTTCATGCAACAAAACAGGTCATGATATTTCACACTAATACAGTGAATAATATGCATCGTGGTCATGTGATCAATTCAAATATCAGATACTGTGGCTGATCAGTTTAAATCCAGCAACTAAGTTGAGTGATCAATGACCGACATCTGTTTGTAATGGCAACATTTTCAATCAACCAGTGTTCAATAAGTGACCATGCATGACTACATTCATCAACCATCATGCCTTGTTACTAATGCCTTCGTGTTTTTTAGACTGCGGGAACAGCACAGCTAATAAGATAAGTTGACAAAATGAACTCAAGCTGAAGTCTAGATATAACGTCATGAATTGTTGGCATAGGTAGATAATTACAAGTGACAATGATTAGACAAGATAATTGGTATAGATCACATCAGAATACTAAGATTTGGGTACATATGCAACAATGACAAGGAAATGACAGATCAGTTTGTACGTAATAGACTTGTCTTCACCAGAACTGAACCAAATTTGCATTAACTAATGGAGTTCAGTTTAAAATGAATGGAAACAACTTTTCGTACTCACTGTAATAACCATAAGTGATCTTGATTCAGATTTCAACATGTTACTTGTTCCCACATGCATGCTCCATGTTTTCAATCTATTAGTCTGTCACACTGCTCAAACCATTCTTAATTTTGTTCAAAAAACTCTTGTTTAGTCATTTGACAATTTTAACCATTCTAAACTTTACAGCATGAGATGATATATACACTGTACACATTGTTTCTTTTCATTAGCAATGAGATTTTTTTTCAGAATGATGTTGGGGTAAATATTTTCTATGAGTGTGGAATATTTTTTCATATATTTTCATATATAATTCTCCCAACTTTATCTTTGTGTAGATTATTTTTGTCAAAAGCTAAGGAGTTTATGATGGTCAACTCGTTAAATTGCTCATTTTAATTGCTATGCAGATTTGTCTACAGTCTAGAGTGCTTTTCTTGATTCATGGCTTGATTACAGTGTTACAGGTCGATAAAGGTCAATCTCCTGTCTCTCATGATGATATGAAAGCAGTCGGATTTTGAAGAATATACCACTGTCAGTCCTTAGTTTGACGTTTAAATTGCCCATCGAAAGTTGATGTAACATTAAGTATGCACACCACACCCTAGCACAGAGAGTGCTGCTTGAGTTGACAAGGCATACAAAGTCCTGTGGAAAATCTGAATTTGATTCAAATAAAGTTTGGTTTGCTGCCCCCACTTAGAAAAATATACATTAGATGGAAAAAACCTAGGTAATGATGGTTTCAAAATAAATTTGTTCAAGAACTGAACCAATTTTGATCAAAATTTGATTTGGACCAAAGCGTATTATTGCGTGAGAACAGGGGTAATTAATGTGAACAATGGAAACTACCTTAAAATCTGTAATAGAAGTCGCACCCATTCTTTTTGAACAATTGAGAACCAAAAATTCATCATTTCTCATATGTGTAGATGCTTTAATAGAAGCCGCATCCTCTCTGTTGCATTGTAATATTTTAATAGAAGTCATGGCTTCTAATACAGATTTTACAGTAGGTCCCAGAGATGAAAAGACATAGTAATCAGTTGACTCACCAAATGAGGCACCGGCATTGGTTACTAAAATAATGATACCAACAAACACAAAGTAATTCCTCCATCCCGGATTCAAACCTATAAAACATAAAAAGCAAGCCATTGTTAAGAATATACATGTATGCACAAACTATATGTATAGTATTAAAGTGCTGACGTTTTATAAACACATAAATAGTTCTTTTTTTACTTTGAACTGAATTTGTACAAAATCAGTTAATATGTCTGAGAAATTGTGTGTACCAAGTTTGAATGAAACCAGTAATGTCCTGCTAGTATGTTAGTGCCACATGTTCAAGATTTACACCAATGATTTACAAGATGATTTTGTGAATTTGTGATGAAAAGAAGGAACTGGTGGTGAATTACTGGACTAGAAAACACATCTCTGTAAACTTTTAAAAAACATGTTCTTATAAAACAGTGAGAACACATTTACCTTAGTAACATATATTCGTAAATTTCAGCCAGAAATCCTGATTTTGAAATGGTCTGATAATATTTCTGTCTCATGATGTTTATGTAAACAAATCACTACCTAGTATGTTTTAATCTTTTAAAAATTATATCGTGAGTTTTTGAATGAGGTAAAAGACAGGGAATTCTTTATTTGTAAATCATACACCCTTCTGCTACTGTGAGAGATTGATGATATGCTGAAAAGTTGATTTACTTTCTGTGTTTCTAGGGCTGTCTGACATACAAAAGACATAGTTATGTATATAAGGTTATTACGAGGATACCTCAAGATATTCACAAAGACAGTACAGCAGGAGTATCTAGAGACCAATAATCGTAACAATGTTACAACCTATGTCTCTGTTACTGGTAGTTATCCGCTCTACAATGTTACTGTAAAACACTTTGAAATAGCTACATGCCATTTTAGCTAATTTGACTCAATGCATGAATTAACTGAATCTTAATTTAAAGTGTCAATAATCTCATTGTGAGAATATACTCTATTCTAATTACCGACATCTTAATTTAGCGAAATTGTGAATTAGCTAAATTAACTAAAATAACGTGCTAGCTAAAAAGACATTTTACAGTAATTTACTTACCTGTCATCCAATAAACTATAGTACTGCTTACTATGGGATATAAAATAGAGGAAGGCAACTGAAAAAAAAAAAAAATTAATATATATTTAAATATAGCGATATAATATATACTTTCAGTTTAAGTCACAGTAAATCACAAAATTTGGAACCAGTGATGTTTTTTCAAGATCCTACAGCACAATATCGCAAAATGTTGTCTTAACGAATACAATAAAATGCTGAAACCACAGAAATTTCTTGCAGTGAAAAAAAATGGTTTGCAGTAATTCAAAGTGCACTAATGTTTTCAACACATCTCATGAATACATCCATTTTTCTCAAATGTCAAAAACAATGTTTTTATCAAGATGTAACAAAATTAAAAACATTTTAGTGAAAAATATGCAATTTATGTTGTTCTTATTGTCTAAACTCAAAGCTAGATCAATACCTGACCTCTAAAAACCAGACAGACTTTGACGACTTTTGCTGTACTTATACATGTATCTATGAATCTTGAATTTGAAATAATCACCAAAATGAGTTTTTTCAATCAAAATGTGACCAATTAATTTAAAACATTGACAAGTATGTTCCATTTGGCACTACATTCACAAAGGGTAATGTAGACAAGATGAATTACTATAGAACACTTGTTTTATTTTTCCGTTGAATCAGAATTAGTGAAATACCCAAGAAACTGACAAACTAAACACAATTTCTTTTGGTTTATATAAATTTTCAAATAATTTTCCAATTACACATGAATCAGCCAATTCATAACAGAAATTGCTAAACAGACTAGCTTTTGAAATATAATTACATAACATGAGCAGTCATAGAGAACAACCGAACAACCAAACAACCAAACACTAACATAAATTGCCCCCTCTATCGGTAGATATGGCAAATCAACGCACACAGTGCCAAGAAGATATATTGACGTTGATGGGTGATTTTTTTCATTTTTGTTTTGCAATTATCATAACTGAATTCAATAGTTTACAGTTATCCACTTTTACACCTAATACATACAGTTAAAAAGTTAAATATATAACAAAAACGTCGAGATGACGCAAGATACTGTACTACAATAATTCCTAGATTATCATTTACATTTATGTGACTCATTGACGTTGGTGCAAACCATGATCTTTGTGAAATAAACTGAATATGTCTGATTATTTGCTGAATGATGAAAGATATACAATTAGGTTCAAGAAATAATAATTTCTGTAAGTACAATTATGTGTCATTGACCTCAGACACAACAAATAAAAACATGTGATAAGCATTAAATAGATCATATACACATATGTCAGGAATTGAATAGCGATTCAAGGCTGTAACTGACTGATGAATGTCCTAAGCTGTTTTTTTGACAATTTGTTAATTTTGTATTTTGTAATCCAAGCAATACTAAGCCAAAATGACTTTTGTGGAACCAAATGCACACATATACTTGTAGGTTAAGAAGTTAGGATGCTCATGTTGTGTATACAGCACAGTCCAAGCATAATTTAAAGGGGAGTGGTCGTCGCGCTGATTATCCCACATTGATTATCCCACAATCCAATACGCTCTTCAAATGGAAATCACAAGTATGAGGTTTGACCTGGGCACGACTTGCACTGAATACCACCGGTGACTCCTTTGATACCTCCCAATAACCTAAAAATACCTAATTAAAGCTTGGTAACATCTCAGTTTGTACTCGTTGATCTGCGCAACAGTAAAAGACACAATCTTTGTTTATATGAGACTCAAGCATGCGTGGCTAGATGACTACCTCCCTTTAACATTTAGATAGTTTTTATGCTGGCGTACAGTTGGCTTAGGTTGCTTACCAAACCACCATATATCTACATGATGCATATTAATCTGCCTGAAAACTTAATGTAGGGGGTAAATACCATGAAGAATATGTTAGTATTGATGGCCATGATACTCACTTATTAAATAAATTGTAAATATTTATGAAAAGATAAATATAGTAAATAGCCATCTTAGATGCTTGCTTGTACAGTACTGTACAATGTATGTAAACAAACAACACTTACTGTAAAATACTTTATTTTAGCTGGAATTAATTTTTAGATTTGATTTTTTTCACTGTTTTTTGACGAGTTGAATGTAAAATCTAGAAAAAAAGGTATATTCACTGGATTTTAATTTTCACTGAATCATTCCTTTTGTGAAAATAGCGAAAAATTAATCTCAAGCGAAAGTATTTTACAGTACTAAATTAATTTTTTTTTCAAATGACAATTTTTTTACAGTTATTTGCACATTGATTCCCAGCTCTAAAACCAATTTGTTGCATGTCTAGGTTTTATAATATTCATAACGAACATATGGAAGTATCCAGCGCCATACATACTACATGAAAATAAACTAATAAACAGACAGATTTTGTTGTTGTTGCTGGTTTGTATTTTCATGGGTGCAACAGCAAATATACGTAATAAATATTTAGAACCAAACGAAAACTAGCAAAATACAAATTAAGAAACCTTTGACTTTAATATAACTTGTCCTTTTCACTATTATATTTTCTGGAGAGCGTGGATAATATAAATAAAATTTGAATAAAACCAATTTGTTTTTTTTACTCTATAAATGCAATGACAAATGAAAGCCACACCATACACACCACTGTTATCAAAATATTGCTATTAAATTGATTGATTCAGTCAGTAACAGATGTTTTGTTCATTACACTTAATCAAATCTCCATTAACAAAATACATTAATTACTTTCAAATACCCCCTTCCACACACTTAATGAATCATCCATATTGTCTAAGCTATACTCAATTCATATACACAGTAAATATGTTTTCAGGGTTCTTCGTGTTATACACAATAAGGAGACAGAGAGGAAATTTAGAATTGTGTTAAAATACATCAGCCAACTGATTAAAAAATTAATCACAAAAATGACAGATGTGAATATGACCTTTTTTTATGAATAGCTTTTGATTGGTTGAACGATAGAAATTCCACACATATTGGTACATTGTATGTGATATTACTGAATACCTTACTTTCTTTATCAGTATTACTAATAAGTATATATTGAACTTTTCAATCAAATTTGAACTACGTATCAATCTAATGCCTTGCCGCATTCTCCAACCTTTGAAAGCATAAGTCAACTTCTGTGGGCATTCACAGAATAAATAAATACTTTTCCTATATTCAATTTCCAAAAGACCTGTATGCAATTATAAATTTATTTTCATTTGAAAAAATATACAAAATGTTACCAAAGATTACAGGCATTCAATTAATTAATACCAGCTTCTTTCAAAATGTCTATTTTTCTTCAAATATTAATAGATATTATTATAAAGGTAGTAATAGTGGTAAAATTTAAAAATTTATATTGACAATGATATATATTATTTTTGTTATTTTCTGTGCAGAGAGGATTCAGTGAGAATAAAATCCAGTGAAAATACGTTTTTTCATACATTTTACATTCAAAATCAGTAAAAATTAACTTCAGACAAAACACCAGGTAATTCCAACTAGAATAAAGTATTTTACAGTAAAATGCCCACAACCTTACAGTTCACGCTAGAGTAATATGCTTTGAGTGAGTCTCAGAGAATATCTTTAAGAAATAATGAAGGACCGTCATGTGTGTACACAAATCAAAGGCCACCAGATTCTAATCTCCAGCAAGCACAAATGTACTAATTGTATAACAGAGAGGTCCTTGGATGTTTTTTTTTATTCCACAATTATAAATATAACTGCTTCAAGAAAAGATACAGAACTCCAGCATTGTGACATTAATCTAAATAAAAATATAACATACCTGTGCCATATATCTTGCTATTAAATATGAATCAAATCTATATAAACCTATCTTGTTTTCATACACTATAAGGGGTAGCTCTTCTCTTATCACCTGAAAACAAATGAATAGAATTATATAAACTAAAGAGGGCGATATTATAAGTGCAATTTTCAAGATAATAAATTTTTAAATATATCACAAAGTGGAGGTGCTGGTCGAAGTGGTAGAGTTACGGTACTGATTGAAGAGGTAGGCTGGAGGAACTGATTGAAAGGGTAGGGTGGAGGTACTGGTTGAGGGACAGGGTGGAGGTACAGGATGAGGGGTAGGGTGGAGGTACAGGTTGAGGGATAGGGTAGAGGTACTGGTTGAGGGATAGGGTGGAGGTACTGGTTGAGGGACAGGGTGGAGGTACTGGTTGAGGGACAGGGTGGAGGTACTGGAGTAACTGGTTGAGGGATAGGATGAAGGTACTGGTTGAGTGATAGTGTAGAGGTACTGGTTGAGGGATAGTGTAGAGGTACTGGTTGAGGGACAGGGTGGAGGTACTGGTTGAGGGACAGGGTGGAGGTACTGGTTGAGGGACAGGGTGGAGGTACTGGTTGAGGGATAGTGTAGAGGTATTGGTTGAGGGACAGGGTGGAGGTACTGGTTGAGGGACAGGGTGGAGGTACTGGTTGAGGGACAGGATGAAGGTACTGGTTGATGGATAGGATGAAGGTACTGGTTGATGGATAGGATGAAGGTACTGGTTGAGGGACAGGGTGGAGGTACTGGTTGAGGGACAGGATGAAGGTACTGGTTGATGGATAGGATGAAGGTACTGGTTGAGGGACAGGGTGGAGGTACTGGTTGAGGGACAGGGTGGAGGTACTGGTTGAGGGACAGGGTGGAGGTACTGGTTGAGGGACAGGGTGGAGGTACTGGTTGAGGGACAGGGTGGAGGTACTGGTTGAGGGATAACATAACTTAACATAACTTTATTGACATTATTCATTTTGAATAGAACATAGTCCAATCTTTAACTAGATAACAATTTCTAAATACATAAACAAAAACATACTAAAACAGTTTAACAAAAGGGCTTGGAAAAATTAGGGAATTGATAATTACTGTATCACATTACCATAATTTCTTTTATAAAAATGCCAAGCTGTATTAATGTTAGGGATAGGATGAAGGTACTGGTTGAGGGATAAGGTGGAGATACTGGTTGAGGTATAGGTTGGAGGTACTAGTTGAGGGATAGGGTAGAGGTACTGGTTGAGAAATAGGATGAAGGTACTGGTTGAGGGATAGGGTGGAGGTACTGGTTGAGGGATAGGGTGGAGGTACTGGTTGAGGGATAGGGTGGAGGTACTGGTTGAGGGATAGGATGAAGGTACTGGTTGAGGTGCAGGGTGGAGGTGCAGGGTGGAGGTATTAGTTGAGGGATAGGATGAAGGTACTGGTTGAGGTGCAGGGTGGAGGTGCAGGGTGGAGGTACTAGTTGAGAGGTAGTGTAGTGGTACTACATGGTTAAGGG